GTCTCTTCTTTTCCTTCGCAATTCGTGGGGGTTCGTCAGGTGTCGATGTCCTTCGGGTTTTAATTCGGGAGCAATCGGGGTCAATCAGCATGGTTGAGTGGTGACGATGACCACAATCCAGGGATGTCTCACAAGGGATTATTGCAGGTGTTGAATATTCGGGGGTCCAGTATGGGGAATTTCCAGGGGGCGATGGCTTCTCCAATTTGATCGGGTGGGGCTGGAACTGATGTCTTCCTTCGGCTGATGTCTTCGTGATGTCCGGCGGCGCGGGTAGAGGGGCGATGAGAGGAAAAGTCTGAGGAAGGGGTATCCAACGGTGGCGGGATTTACCTTTTAGGGGGCAGTGTGTAGTGGGAAAAAATATGTAGAAAAATAATAAAAAATAAATGAATATGCCTCGTCACAANGGCGGGATTTACCTTTTAGGGGGCAGTGTGTAGTGGGAAAAAATATGTAGAAAAATAATAAAAAATAAATGAAAATGCCTCGTCACACCCGATAAAATCCTGTACTGAACTATAGAATCTATCGCACTCTAACCTCCCTCAACGTGGCCATGTTCAGCCATCAATTTCCTCTGACGTAACTAAAATCCCGAACTATGCGATACATTTTCAATAATTACGAACAATCCCTGTGGTGACGGGTAATGAAATTGTAGGAATATGTGCCTGAAATATATACGGTTCTAGTCGTGAAGCGTTTGGACTTTTATTCTATTGTCGATTATTTTTGCGATTTTTGAAAAAGTGGTGCCATAAGACTCTGTGTTAATGACACATTTTTCATATTTTGTCCTCAACAATCTACGTGGTTCAGTGTTTTGAGACTTTGGGAGGATATTTGTAACCACTTAAAGAATATGCTCTCAAAATTTCAGCTCTGCAGTCCATTTCCTTCTAATCTCATATACTTACTGCGGAAGTTCCTTAAGGTGGGTCAGCTGAAAAGTCAAAATAATGAAAAAAAATTGGAAAATTCACGGGAGAAAGTTCTGAGTATGCTGCACCATTAAAAATTCTTGCACATTGTTTTCAGGTCTCAGTCCTCGTCTCAGTCTCAAGAGAAAGAGTAATGAAATTTGGATCTTCTTGGAACCCCTCCAGCTCCAACCTCCGAGGTTACCCCACTCTCAATTAGGGAAATTTCCATGGTACCCAAAAAAATAATGAAATATTGAAGAAAAAACTAGTGGGCGATAAATTAAATCTTTCTTGAGAACACGTATAAGTGTCAGATTTTTGTCAGATTTTATAAGAAAGTTATTGGAACAGAAGATTCAAAAAATTGTCAGCATCATGGGAAAGGTATGGGTTGGACCATGGAACTGAGAAAGAGAAAACACTCGACAGGTTTACCAACTCGAGACGTATTTTAATATTATTTCAATAATTAGAAAAACATCCAATAAAAATTATTTGACACCCGTAGGTGATGAGGAAAAAATCAATCAATCTGATAAATGAAATCAATATTCAAAAAATGTTTAACTGCACACTTAAATAGTTGCTTGAAAATTGGAAAATTTCGTGCTCAGCGATTGAATCAGGGCTCGAGAACAATAAGACTCCCCTTCCGTTTCACCCCCTCGTGATCTGCAGACGAAACACCTTAAGCAATCGTCTCATCACCGAGTTACTTACCACAAAATGTCAAAATACAACTTTTTAAAAGAAATTTCAATTTCCTACAAGAAAAGTCTTCTGATATTTTTTCGTAGAACCTACTAGTTTCCGGAATATTTTCCAAACAATCTAATATGTAGCGAGTTTTCATTGCAAATTCAATGATGCAATTATCTCTCAAATGAAACGAGTCACTTCGGTACAAAACTTCGACAAACATATTCTCTACAAAATTCAATTCTCCACAAAATAGGGCCAGCTATTCAGGCCTACCTCCTCATTTTGTTAAATTTCTATGACTCATTTTTCTTCATAAACTCTCAGACTTTTTCCTTCACAACTCAGTAAAAAATCTTCGATTTGAGATAATTGTGAAAATCTGTAATAAAAGAATGCAATTCCCTAACTCTCGAATAATTACAAGATGTAATCTCCTGAAATTCAATATTATTCCTTCCTTATCACAACGTCAATAATACCCCGCTGACGCTGCGAATATCCCTGATTACCATCAGCTGTCTTCCAAGATGCTCCCAAACTACAGCCATGAAAATCCCGGATTTATTCAAGAATATTGGCAACCTTCATTAGCCTAGATTATTGTCAATGGCCAGCTTATATCAACTGTCAATTTCCTATTCCAGGGTTTATAGCGTTGCTGACTCGTATTAATTAATTCACTTCGCTGCACACGGGTGAGACTGGACGTAAAATGATCGTTAAATATTTCAATTACCAAACCGCAAGATTTTACCTCCAAGAATTGATTTTAAAAATTAACGGAATAAATTTGCTTAGTAAACTATCTCGGTGATGGGAGAGTCTAGGGAAAATTGTCAAAGGACTATTTCGGTGGAGCACTTCACGCTTTACAGAAATATTGTACGTCATTGGGCTCGATAAACCGCGATTCTAACCTCGCTTTGTCGGTTAGTGATAAAGACTTGATAAAGACCTAGACTTGATAAAGAGAAACAGCTGACATCACGTTACATTTTAACGCTCCTAAGTGTGTTTTAACGCGCTAACTGCAGTTAGTGCTCCTACTATCCTATCGTAAAAAGAGGAAGGAAATTGATCTCGAAATATGTCGAATATCTCAAATAAGCGTAAGCGTATGACTCAAACCGAATCGCCACTAAGTGAGGAGACGAGAAGGCGCGTGCGTAGCACGCGCGGCCGATCTCGTCGAGTCAAAAAGTATAGACCCCTGGCGCTGCAGGATTTTTCGGGTTTGCAACATTCCTAAACATTAATATCAATTTTTTTCCTTAGAAATATGTTCTAGACATACCCAATAACCATAAGAAACATGAACTTGAATGTATTGAGTTGTTATTCATTGCCAAAACAATCTCTGAAGTTGAGACCCAGGGATCTATAATTTTCAATCCGATAGTAGACACGTAAAATTTCCGCTGTCCTGTCCCTCCTGTGCTCCTTATGCTAGTTCCTTGTCCCTGATATTTTTTATTATGACTGGTCCCCGTTTTCGTTACTAGAGGCTTCGGCGACAAAAATTATCAAATCATAAAACATTATCGATTCACAAAAATTATAAGAATAACGGGTGAAGTGAATCGAAGAAAAAATATTTTTTTTTCTTCGCCTTTTATTTTGATTAGAATCGTTTTTTTTCAAATATGACATGATAAAGTTGCATAATCTTCAACAGAAATGATGCAAAAACCAATCGAATTATTTTATTGAATGTTCACAGAACTCCAATAGACTTATAGAGTTTCAATACAAATTCACTAGATCTTTTAATGAAAGGGCCAGTTTTTTCTTGTGATTTTGTTTAACTTGACAAAATGTAGAAAATTTTTTTCTTTGTTCTTTTTTTTCCTCTACTGTGTAGTTGGTTTTCCGTCAGAAGGGGGCTTGCCCCCCCCCCCCCCCCC